CCACCTCAATACCTAAATAATATTTCAATTTTCCCAGGTCTTTTAACTCGAACTCAGCACCAAAAACATCTTTTAACTTGTTCATTTCATCTTCATCGTCGTCTATCACTACCATGTCATCGACATAAACAATAAGGGCTGTAACTTTTCCTTTATTGTTCTTAACAAACAACGTGTGGTCAGCATCAATCTACTTGTACCCAATACCCTTCATGAACTTTGAGAATCTCCCGAACCAAGCTCTGGGTGACTATTTTAAGCCATAAAGAGCTTTATTAAGCTTACACACCTTGTTACCAAATTCATTCCCGGTGGAGGATCCATATACAATTCTTCTTCTAAATTACCATTCAAAAATGCATTTTTACATCATACTATCTCAGTGGCCATTCTTTGTTTGCTGCTATTGAGACAAGAATACAAATAGTGTTAATCTTCGCCACTGGAGCGAAAGTATCTCCGTAGTCTATACCATATTTTTGTGTATACCCTTCACGACCAGCCTGGCTTTCAATCTGTCTATCTTCCCACAGGAGTCCAACTTTATAGTAAATATCCATCTGCACCCAACAGTTTTTTTTTCTTGGAGGAAGAACTACCTCATCCCACGTCCAATTCTTCTTTAAGGCATCCATCTCTTCTTGAATAACTTTCCTCCACCTTGGACCTTTAAGTGCTTCTTGAACCGAATTCAGTATGGCTACAGTTGATAATTATTCCACCATGGTTTTTTGTGTATTCGCCAATTTATCTGTGGATACATAGTGATTGATCGGATATTTGGACTTTGATGTCAACTCCGGTTGATATTGTCTCTTTGATATTCCCTATTTTTTCTCACGGGATATCTCGGGGTTACCTACTCATTATTAGTTTCAGGAGACGTAGAATAGATATCATTAGATGATATACCTTGTGATGGGATCGGAGTTGGACTCAGACTCGAACTCGGAGATGGTTCTGGCTCTGGAGTTGGACTCGGACTCGGAGATGATTCTGGCTCTTGCTCATATGAGTTCCCCGTACTATCTTGGTCAGGACTTGCTCCCCCTGTTTCGAAATCTCCACTACCACCGTCTCCTTCATACCCAGTGTCATCTAGACCCTCACTGAAGTCGCTATTTTGATGTATTACGTTTTCCTCCAAATTAGTTGTTATCTCCCCCTGAGGAAAAAAGTCATGATCAAAAAACGAAACAGTTTCATGAAACTTTACATCGCGCGTGATATACATCTTCTTTTCTTTAGGGTCATAACACCGATACCCTTTTTTTAAATCGACATACCCTAAAAACATACATCGAATTGCTCGTGGTTCAAGTTTTCCACCATCTTTGTGTACGAAAGCAGTGCTGCCAAATATTTTTGGTTCAAGATTCGGCCCCATTAGGAGTTCCATGGTTTCATGTAAACGTTGCAGTGGTGTTTTAAAGTCAATTACTCTAGATGGAGTTCGCTTCATTACATATGTTGCTATCCGCACTGCCTCACCCCAATATTGCCTTGGTACTTTCATATCAAACAAAGATGCACGAACTATCTCTAAAATTTGTTTATTTCGCCTTTCTGCAAGGCCATTCTGTTGGGGCGTATTAGCACATGAAGTTTGGTGTCTAATAGATTTTTCTTCACAAAAACGTTTCATTTCTTGATTAACATACTCTCCTCCATTATCGGATTGGAGTATGTTAATTTCGATCTTATATTGTGCCTTTACCAACTTGTATAATTCTTGAAATACACGAGAAACTTCATCCTTATGTTTAAGTAGAGAAACCCATACCGTATGTGTGCATTCATCAATAAATGTGACAAAATATCGATAGCCATTCGGGGTGGAAATCCATGCTGGTCCCCAGACATCTGAGTGCACCTTCGTAAACGGTACTGTAACTTTATTTTCACTTGGAGAGTAAGAAATTCGATGGCTTTTAGCCAATTCACACACATCACAATTAAACTCAACATTGTTCTTATTCAAAAATAACTCAGGTTTTAGTTTCTTTAAATAATTGAAAGATAAATGGCCTAATCTATGGTGCCATAACCACAAAGGAGATTTCTTCCATTCAACGTTGTATGTTTCTGCTTGCCTTTCTTCTTCAAGATAGTACAACTTCCCTTTTCTAATACCAGAGCCAATCATCCGATCCATTGTTATGTCCTGAAAGGTACAATTGTTTGGCCAAAATGTTACATAACAGTTTAGTTTATCAATGATCTGACTAATAGATAATAAGTTTGATGAGAGAGATGGAACAACTAAGACTGTGTCAACTGGGATAGTTGAGCAGCACCTTCACACGTAACAGGTGCTAAACCTCCATTTACAGTTTTTATTTTTTGTTTGTTAGGCCGACATATGGTCACTAGCTTGGACGGATCATTGGTCATGTGATCCATCGCACCTGTATCAATAATCCATTCACTATTCAATGAGTGGGTTGTATTCGACATACCACAGTCATTGAAGAACTCAGTGTGTGCTGCCATGGGGTTTGTGTCTTCGTTTTTCGTTCTGGCTATTGAAGCTTGGCCCACCTTTCTTCTTGGTTTCTTGGAGAAATCCCACCACCCAGGGTAACCAGCATTTTCATAGCATTGCTGTTTTGAATGCCCTTCTTCTCCACAATGGTTGCACATGAGTTTGTTGCTGGTGTTTTTTCTTTTTGAGGACCGATTTCTAGTGGCTAGGTTAATGATGCTATCAGGCTCGTTTTTTTGTTCATCCATTGTGGATCGTTGGGTTTGGTCTTTTCGCACAAAGGCATAGCAAGCTTCAAGTTCTAAAGGAGGATCTTTGCGCAATATCTCTCCACGGGCCTGATTAAATTCAGGATCTAACCCTGCCAGAAAAATGTGCACACGGAACCGGCCAAGAATCTTGTTGAGTGACACAACATGCTCTACATTGTCTTCGTCAACCATCAACCGCATGTTGATCTCCTGAAAAATACTTATCAACTCGTTGTAGTACGATGCGAGGGTTCTTCCGTTTTGCCAGGTACTAAACGACCTCCTGTTCAATTCGAATAATTGTATTTCATCCGTTCCGTCATAGAACGTCTTAGCCACTCCATCCCATATTTGTTTTGCTGTTTTCAGACGGATGAATCTTGGAATCAAAGTCGGGCTCATGGAGTCTATAAGCCAGCTCTTCACACGGTTGTTTTCAGTCAACCAATTCTCGATTTGCTTTTCTCCAGATTTAGGCTTCGCTATGGATCCGGTGAGAAATCCTAGTTTGTTTCGGGCTCCAATTCGCATCTCCATCAGTTGTGACCACAACTGATAATTTGTGTCATCCAGGATGATCCCTGTTGGGAACGGGGCATCCTGAACCACATATCGGGTTTCTTGAGGAGGTGGTGTTGCTTCTTTGTCTGTCATGGTCTTCGAGGGGTTTGTTCTTTTTTTATTCGGGATTTCGAGGGTTTCAGATGGTATGCTCTGATACCATGTAAAACAGAGAATTCGATTGAATGGTTTTTTTTTTCACATCTATTCACAATTACAATGAGATACATATATAGGACCAGTACAACAAAAAACCCATGGAATAAGGAGCTATATACATACTAGATAGCACACACAATACTTTCTATGATTATCCCATTTTATCAATAATATCCAAACTTAGCTTGATTCTTGATATTGCTCTCGCCAACAAATTTGTCATTATTTTAGACTTCAAAATTAATTTTATTTTTTGTTCGTGAAATTTCAATTCTATGCGCCATAGGTTTGGATTCCATCAAATTCCAATTCTTTACCAACATTCTGAACCAAATATCCACAAAATTCTCTTTTGTAAACGGATTTTGAGTATCCGTTGAAATGAATATCGTTGTATCAAACTTCTTGAAGTATATGAAAAATTGCTTACAAAGAAGTAAACGCTTTGTTGTTTAACAGTTGACATGTTTATGTTAACAGGAAACACAAGATTTGAAGGATAGTCATTGGAATTATCTTAAATATATTTGTGTCATTTGAACGATTGGAATCAAATTAGATTTGCAAAGATATAAAATAAGCAGAGAAGAAAGGAGTGGGGGACAAGACTTAAAAGCAGGCCTTCGTGATGGCAACTTAGGTTGTTAAGTTGACCGAGTGAGGCTCTTACCATTTGACAACAACATTCGAAGGTTACATTTTTGTTTTTACCTTTGTTTTCAATGTCAACCTTTTATACCCCTTTTGTCCTTGAATTAACAGTTCCATAAATACTTTACACTACTTATGACCACATATGATTGGTTCTTATTTTCTTAAATTATAGAGTACCTTGTATAAGGTACGAGTTTTTAACATATAATATCCACTTTCTTAGTACAAAGAGTTATTCTTTGTACATATAAGTTCATATAAGTTATTCTTCTAGCAATCTTTGAACCAATATTTTGTACATATAAGTTGATATAAGTTATTCTTCTAGCAATCTTTGAACCAATATATAGATCATCTCATTTTCATGGTATCATGTGACTAGATAAATCAGATAAATAAAAGTCTCTTGATGGCCGAAATAAAGAGCCATACTCTAACCTTTTCTATAAGTATATCATTTCAAAACCAACTCTGAAATAAACTTTATTATAACATGGTCACAATGAATTTGGATGTTCCAAAATCTAAAAAGACAAAAACTTTTCCAACATTCGAATAATCAAATCCAACCGGTTGCCACTACAACAATTACAAATTTAATCACATCATCATCTAGATTTATTTAAACTTTTGGGTTTGGAGGTTTTAAAAACCAGATAAGTATCAATCATTAATAACGTTAATGACATAGTCCCCACTCCTATTTCAAAGCTTTGTGATTTCAGTCAACCATTAACAACCTCCAAAAAACAATTCAAACTTCTATAAGCTTCCATTAACAAGAAGACGAGCTCACCATGAACTTAAAACCCCTATTTAAACCCCCCTTCAATCCTTCACAATAAGTCAAACACTCAAATTTAATTTCTTTATTAAAAAAATAAATAGAAATGGAATTGAACTTTCAAAACAATTATGAGTTCTCATCTTCATCTTCATCGTCTTCCAAGAAAGGCCGATTCAGCAGCACAAATGGCCGGAATTCGAGTAGAAACAAGTTTGTCGGTGTTAGACAGCGGCCCTCCGGCAAATGGGTGGCGGAAATCAAAAACACCACTCAGAAAATCCGGATGTGGCTAGGGACTTTCGACACGGCGGAGGAAGCCGCCAGAGCCTACGATGAGGCGGCGTATTTACTCCGGGGAGCCAACGCCAGAACCAATTTCATCCATCATGTGCCGATCAATTCTGCTCTCTCTCTCAAAATCCGAAACTTGCTTAATCACAAGAAATGCCTTCGACAAAACGCCACCGCCAAAAACACCACCACAACCACCACCCAAACAAGTACTCCGGTGACCCCGCGACGTGATTCAGTGAGTTGTACGGTACAAGTCAACAATGCAAAGAAGGAAAATTTCTCATCTGGGTATCAAGGAATTGAGGTGTTTGATGATGGGTATAAGCCAGATTTGACGAATTGCACTGGGAGTGTCGAGATCGGCGATTCAGGTGGAGGTTTTTATTATGGATTACAGTCTGATTTGCCATTGACCACTGGGAATGGATTCGAAGGGTTTAATATAGGGCCAATTTCGAAAAAGGGTGATGAAGATGGCGAAAGTACGAGTGATTTCGAGAGGCTGAAGGTGGAGAGACAGATATCGGCATCACTGTACGCCATGAATGGGGTGAATGAGTACTGGGATAATGTTCTTCATGATTGCGGCGATGGTGGTTCGTATTGGGATCTACCATTGTTGTCTCAGATGTTCTGCCCAATCACTTAGAACTTTTAGAGAAACAATTGCGATTCTTAATAGGTTTATTACTTGGAAAGATTAATGAAATGAGTACAAGTATGTTTCCTAGAACTCGATTTCGGTTGGTTGAAAGTCGAATCATTTTAAATCGATGCAAGAAATATTGGTTTGTAAGACTTCGATTTGTTTGTCTTTTCAGACCAGAACAATAGAAATCTATATGAAAGAACTATTTTTATGTTTATTATTTGGATTTTTGTAAAAATACGGAAAAGTCCAATGAATCTATTTTGGGATGGTTATAAGAAAATCACCAATGATTTGTTTTGCCTTTTGACAGAAGAACCACTATATTGATGTTGACGTTTTAACTATGTCGTTTTTTTCTAGTTAAAGTAGGTTTATCAGATTCATTTAATCTGATAGGGTTTTTGATTGACGTGGTCGATGATGTGGACTGTGCACGGGGTTTGGGGGAGGACAATTACAGAGCAAGAAGGTTGAGCCACCTATGCGAAAATAACTAACAAGATTCAAGGTTAATAAGTGTGATTGTTTATTGCTCTTTCAAAAAAAAAGTGTGATTGTTTATGACATGCTCAAATATGTGTTTGTTGAAATGTTTGATGAACACGGGAGTCTCCCGGATTGCGATGCGGGAGCGGATCAATTGATCGTTTATTTCACCAGTTAGGATGATAATCACCTACCGGAAAAACTTCACAAATCACAGGCTAAGTTTCTCTTATTTTCACCTTTGATCAGTCACTTTTGAGTCTCATTCAAGAATCTTAAATTGTCTCTAATGACTAGGGATGTTCGTTTGAATGGATCGGTTTGATCCGATCCAATAAGATGAATCCAAATTTTTTCGGTTTTCAAAACGTGAATCCGAATAGTCCAAATTAAATTCAAATCCGATCCGAAACATTCAAATTACAATTCGTTTGGATCGGATTTTACAATTCGGTTTTCAAGAAGCGAGACATTTAAAAATATATACTAATATTAGTCAACTTTAAAATAAATTTTTTGGTAAGAATTAAAATTATGACAACTATTAAAAATTTTATTATAATTCAATATTTTATAGATAAAAAACTATTGAAAAGTATACCTTAATGTATTTTATTGGATAATACTTTCTAATCTATTTAAAAATACAATTTAGCAAATTAATAAATAACTAAAAGATGTATACTTGAAACAAATATATATAAATAAGTAAATAATAAACTCTTATTCGGTTTTTTTGGACTATTCGGTTTTAATTTTATAAACTGTAACCAATCCGAAATCCAAAATAATAATTCGGTTTTACTAGAAACTCATCCAAAAATCCAAAAATCCAAACCAAATAGTTCAATCCAAATTGTCCAATTGGACAATTCGGTTTTATCCGAATAGTGAACAGCCCTACTAATGACAGTTATAAAATCGTCATTACACTGCACCTAATGGCAGTTACAAAACTGCTTTGTTGCTGTGTCGGACCCCTAGTCGTATCCGGGTCAAATATTTTGAACATCCCACGCTTATACACAAAACAACTATGATATGTTCAATATATCTTGGTGGTACATGATAAACAACTCATACTTCTCAAAAACATATTGTATGATATGTTCTATATATCTTTGGCTGTACATGACAAAAACGTGTTTTTTAGGTCGTAAACGATCCCTAACCGACCTCGAGTCCGCTTCATCATTAGAATCCCCAACGAAAGGTGACAAATTTGCAACATTGAACGTCGTAGACACGTTGTAATGACCCGATATTTCGATCTTGTACACATTGTCAGTGGCGGAACCCTTCAGGGCCAAGGGAGGCCATAGCCCCCCCGTTTTTCACCAGATATATGTTTGTAATCATTGGTTTTTCTTCTTGTTTCACCATAGATGACCCGGAATGGTTGTAATAAAGCCTACTGCCTAGGAAAAAGGGTTAGGAAGGCATAGTTTTCGGAAGGATTCTTTCCAATGAACAATCAAAATGTAGAGATGCAAAGAATGAATATGAACTATGAACAGGTAAGACTGAAATAAAGTCACTTATTCTCCTCAAACCCCATCAATTCCATATCACTCTCTCTATTTCTCTTCATGTTTATTCTTCTTTTTTTTTTTTGCTCTTTATCCATCGTGCCTAGCATTCTGGTATATCCTTGAAAATACGAAGTTGTTACTTTTTGGTTATCTGGTTTATGAGTTTTTTAAGGGATAATGACTTAAAAGGGTAATATATTTTTCGATTTGTACACATTTGGTCACTGAGTTTTGTTTTCGTCCACATTTACCCCTTCAACTTGTTAAACTGTACACATTCAGTCCTTATGACCGGTTACTCCAGGTTAGCCGGGAAAAATGACTTGATAGGGTAATATATTTCTCATTTTGTTCACATTTAGTCCTTAATATTTTTGTATACATTTAGTCATTAATATTTTTTTTTGTTTCAAAATAAGTCATTTTTGTTTTTGTACACATTCAGTACTTATGAATGTTTTCTTTAGATTTTTCTGACGACATCTTATGTGGGACAATCATTGATGAAGTGTGTGGGGCTGTTAATGTTTATGTGTAATGTCTCATTTTCACAACCAAAAAATTTCATTTTTAAATAACGCAAAACTCCCTAATTATAAATCCATTATTAAGAAAAAATGTTTATTCCAAAATACATTTATCGAAAATCAGAGTAATATAAGAAACGCGAAATTCTCAATATTGTTGATGAGTGTGTACAGTCATGCATTCGCCTTCCCACGACCAACGATAGAACCTGAAAACATAAACATCTTGGTAAGCACAAAGTTTAGTGAGTTTCCCTCAAAATACCCAATACAACAAACGTATTATCATGCATAAAGGACTCACACTCATCAGATTGGAATACATTAGCCCAATCAATCATCGGACTGGAATGCCAACATGCTACAGGTCCAATCAATCATCGGACTAGAATACCCAGGGTTTGTTGCCATGCCGCCTTAATCCAACCGCACTTCTCGAGTCTCCATGCCTACAGCTTATAGCCGACCCGCACCAGGTATCTTGGCCTACAACATATAGCAGGACCACCTCAACCTATCCCACCACCATATGGCTATCCCACATAAGATGTCGTGAGAAAAACCTAAAGAAAACATTCATAGGTACTGAATGAATACAAAAACAAAAATGACTTATTTTGCAAAAAAAAAAATATTAAGGACTAAATGTGTACAAAATATATTAAGGACTAAATGTGTACAAAGTGAGAAATATATTACCCTATTAAGTCATTTTTACCGGCTAACCTGGAGTAGTCGGTTATAAGGATTAAATGTGTACAGTTTAACAAGTTGAAGGGGTAAATGTGGACGAAAAAAAACTCAGTGACTAAATATGTACAAATTGAAAAATATATTACCCTTTTATGTAGGGGTGTGCGCGGTGCGGTTTGGTGCGGTTTAGAGCCAAAACCCCAACCGCACCGCACATGCGGTTTGAGTTATTTAGAAACCGCACCGCGAACGTTCAAAACCGCATTATGCGGTGCGGTTTGGTGCGGGCGGTTTATGCGGTTTACATGCGGTTTTGCGGTTTGAGTAATTATTTACATTAAACTTAATGAAAATACTATCATTGTCGTCACTAACGGCTCACTAAGTGGTCATTAAGAAATTTGGTGGTCATAAAATTATGGTCATTAACTACTTATGAATATACATAAGTTAAGAAAACATAGTGTATAAAATAATGGTCACTGAATGTTATTTGAAAATGAATTTGAGACAAAAAATATGGTCACTCCATTAAATTTTGCATTAAATTTTGGATTAATTAATATTACATTTCAAAAACTTAAGATAATCTCACTAATTTAGGACCTGTCAAATTATTTTCGAATATATATATATATATATATAGATATATATATATATATATATATATATATATATATATATATATATATATATATAGATCTGGTAAGAAATTTTTTTTGGTAGGAATGTAAGAAGTTTTTTTTCTACATATTTTTTTTACGAACAAAATAAATGAATCACTAGATGATTCATTTGTAAGATGATTCACAAGAAAAATTTCCCAAAAAAAACATCTTTATGATTCATTTTTAAGTAAATTAAGAAAAAATTCATTTTTATGACAATTTTAGTGAATAACAACAAAATCATTGTATAAATGAATCATCGAGATGTTTTTCTGAGAATTTTTTCTTGTGAATCCTCTTTCAAATGAATCATCTAATGATTCATTTTGTTTGTTCACGAAAAAAATATGTAGAAAAAAAACTTCTTACCTTCCTACCAAAAATTTCCTTCTTATTTGATCTTGACTCTATATATATATATATATATATATATATATATATATATATATATATATATATATATATATATATATATATATATATATATATATATATATATATAATCATTAATTGATTTTATCAATGCGGTGCGGTTTAAACCGCAATTTTGTAATCGTAAACCGCAAACCGCGCCGCATAATGTGGTTTAACAAAAATACAAACCGAAAACGGCACCGCGAGTGTTTTAAACCGCGTTATGCGGTGCGGTTTGGCGCGGTGCGGGCGGTTTATGCGGTTTATTGCACACCCCTACTTTTATGTCATTATCCCTAAATAAATACTATGATCATAATTGCATTGTAGTTCCAACTGCACATATTCATTTTACGGTAATACACTAAGACTGGAGGGTGTGGGGTGCGGTTTCAGCTGATGTGGCACTGAAACACCGCCCCCTCCCTGCAGTTTCGAAGTGCGGTTTGGAGAGTGTGGCAAGAATTGGGAGCGCTCCCTTTCTCTCTCTCTTCCTCTATCTCTCTATCTCTCTTCTTTCTCTCTCTCTCTTTTTCTCTCTCTCTCTCTCTCTCTTCCTCTATCTCTCCACCCCTTGGGTGTTGTAAAAAAGTGCGGTAAAAGGAGGGAGTGTGACACCACTCCCTCTAGCCTAACACATACAATTTGTATATTATAAAAGCACTCAAAGGTAATAA